CAAGTACTCAACGTTCCAGCGCATCAAATAAGTTCCAAGTGTAATTACATTAACCAGCTATCAAAATCTCTAAATGTTTGTATCATGTTCAGATTATGTGTCAAGTTTAGAATTAATTAGCAATGATATTGAATTTGGGTTCCCTCTCTCTCTGTTAGTTGATCCCTGAATTGAATGGCTTGGAATCGTGTAGTAGTTTGTTTGGTTTCGTTGATAGGCCCAGGGCGTACAACCCAAGCCATTTTGGACCCTAATATGGATGATAATTTCCCATTTGGGCTTGCATTGAAACCAGGGCTAGTATCAGTCCGCAAAACAAACTGACGCCATCTTTATTTGTTGGGGCCAAGTCCAAAAATCCAAGTTTGAAGGCCCAAAAACTTGTTATAGGTCAAAGCCTTTAAAATTACATTAGGAATATGGGGAATTAGTTTGCAATATAAATTTTGGTTTTTCGAGTTAGGCAGCGGGTTCAAATTAAGAGGGTCCTCCCTTTTGTTTGAATTCGGGCTTGAACTCGAGGCCCGAATTTATAAATGCAAATTAATTGACCCTTTTAGAGACAAATTAAATAGAAAATCGTAGTTCGCTTTAGGCTGGCCTTAAAATAATAAAATGAGACGAGCCTCGCCAAATAAAAATGCATAAATTGCGGGGCCCTCATTAAATACTTTATTAAAATATTTTAGAAATTCGGGACATGCCATTTAGCGAATTTTCATGGCTTCCCGCAAAGTTAATAAGACGCTAGCCACTTTAGACGCGCTTTTAATAATATTACTTTTCTAAACTCGGGTGCGCATTTCATGCAACTCAAATCCAAATCCCAAAACGTTGAATAAGAGGTGTTGAGGATCCGAGTGCATTTCATGTGACGTGATCCAAAAACACGCTCTTAAACGGCGTTCACTTTCATAAGAACTAATTAAAAGCGGTTAAACAATTCATAAAATTGCACTATAGGTAACATGTATAAAAATCAGATTTTAGCCATTTATAATAATTTAAGCGACCGTGCTAGAACCACGGGATCTGGGGGTGCCTAACACCTTCCCTCGGGTCAACAGAATTCCTTATTCAGAATTTCTGGTTCGCGGACTCCAATTGGGAGTCGATCATTTTCCTCGATTTGGGATTTAAGTTAAACCGGTGACTTGGGACACCAAAAGCCAATCCTTTCCCAAGTGGCGACTCTAAAAATAAATAAATAATCCCATTTCGAATAATGTCACTTTAAATGGAAAAACTCCCTTATACATTTATCCTTCGGGGTAGGTATGTAAAAACGGAGGTGTGACAGTAGTTTCTGAAGACTTTTATAAAAATATCTTATAAAAGGATGTTGTTATTTCTATGATCTAATACAAAAATAAATTAAAAAAAATTTAAATACTATTATCAACAAATATTTCTCAATTAAAATATATTTTACAAAAATCTCTGCCATCTTGGGAATGAAGAGATTGGTGTTATGTTCATAGAAAAAATTGATAAGGGGAAACGTAAAGCCTAAACGACTTATAATTTTTTTACAGCAAATAATTTAATATAAAACATAAGGGGAGTTGTCATTTGTAAAATAATAATAATAATAATAATAATAATAATAATAATAATAATAATAATAATAATAATAATAATAATAAATGACAATTCCTTCAGAATATAGTTCGTATTATATTGTTTCCTCTTTATTGCTTCAAGTTTTTATTTTTACGAATTTGACTCTTAATACAATTATAACCAAATTTGCCATATGCTAATGCTATTCATATCAAAATAAATTTATGTATCCTATGAGATTTTTCAATTTGAAAATAATTTACTTATATGATGAATATAAAAAATAATTAAATTAATTCTTGTTAATTTGTTAATTCGAAGTCTTAATTATTTGTTTGGATGAGTAAAAGAACTAATTACTTTATATTGATTCAAATTCTTTATATTAACTCAACTAATTTTAAATAATTAATTATAATTATATTATCAAAGAGTAAAAAATAATAATTTGATATTCATTTTTTGAATTTTTGTGTTTGTAAAATCATTAATGTACTTGACTCTTGTCAACCACCAAAATATTTTATTAGTGATTTGTTAAATATTGATCGGTGTTTTTGTTATGTAATAATAATAATATTTATTGCTATTTTTTATTACTAAAAGAGATTAGAAACAAAGAATGATAATTCATGCGCCTTGTCTTGGATAGTCTAATTAGGATAAAAAAAAAAAGTTAACAATATAACTTCCCTAGGTGAATTAAGTTCCTACCTATTACAGACTTTGCATTATTGCAAATAAGGAACATTTTAGTTGATTTGAAATTTTTAAATATTAGAAAAATAATTAATTTATAATTATAATTTAATCCAATGTGAAACCTATTTCTAAAGGGGTAAAAAAAAAAAGAATGAAATTTTGATAGGGGCTTCGCGCTTTTAATATAGAATTATGTTCTATTTTTCTTTTAATCATGTAAATCGAAGTGCATTTCATAATTCATACTAGACAAAATTGTAATTAAACTCAATATATCTTGTATTTAAATTAAAAATAGCTAAATACTTTAAAGACAAAATTTTGTTCCTTATTAAAAAGATAATTTTCTTTTTTAACTACATATAGGATACTTTTTTCTAAAAAATTATTTCAAAGGAATCATATTAACAATAAAATTTTAGAGACCCTTTGCTACCCCTTGGTTGTGAGACGAACATAATTCAAAGGCAAAAATAGATAAAATTTCCTTCATACGTATTTTGAAGGAATTAGTATTTAATTCGAATTAGTTTTTTTCCTATAAATTTTGGAGTATGTCTTTTATGGTAAAAAGATATAGAAAAGCCAAAATGGTTTATTTATAGTAAATTTTAATAGTTCAAATATTATGAGTTTCTATATGATTCAAATAAGGAAAAATTTTATAAGCAAAATTTTATTTAATTTAAAATCCTATATATAAGGAGAATAATTAAATTATAATTTTGCCTTATGGGAAAGTTATTTTTAAAGGGTAAAAATTACCTCCGGCGCCGTCAACTGGGGTTTAATTCTTCTCGTCGGAGTCAAAATGGAGAACCCAGAAAACAAGGCGAAATCTGAAAACAAGGGGAAGTCTGAAAAGAAAGGGAAATCTGAAAACAAGGGGAAATCTGAAAACAAGCCAAGCACTCAGTCTCAAAAGCATGCTGCAGCCGGTGATGAGGACATGGATCCAACGGTGACTCCAGTTCCCCTTTTCTATTAACTTTTTGGTTTTTGGTTATGCAGTAATTTTTTTCTGAAAAAAATGTTTTAGATTTTTTTGGGTATAAAAATAGGTCATATTTGTTAGTTTATAAGAATGATAAGGATACAGGGAATTTTTTGTGATATTTTTCCAGTTTAAAAGTTGACAATAGTGTTTTAAGTGTTAGATTGCTAAAGAGTAAGAGGTGGGATAATGAATAAACGCGCGTCTTCTGCAAAGCTGCTTTTCTATGATTTACATGGTGGAGGTGCCAAAGTTCAAGTTATGGCAAGTGCGAGGTGGTTATATTACTCATTCATTTTGCTGTTTTCTGGGTTTAATTTATGCCAAGAATAGGTGGATGAGCTTCCAGTGTGCTCAGTGCTACATACTATATATTTCATATGAATATATTCTTCTTCATCATCATTAAAGGACTTTGTGGTATTCTATCATATGCTTTCTCTTGGTCAGTAACCGGGGGGGTGGGGGGTGGGGGATATTTCTCCTTCTTTATACAAATCTCCTTCAATCTTCCTAGAAAAATTACAGCATCTGTTATAGTCCCACTCATAACTTCGAGGCATCCAGTTCCTCCTGGGACGCATTCTTACAACTTTATATCTTTATCTTAATTGTTCCTTATATTTATTTGAATCTATAACAAAAAAGCCGTAGATGGCCAAGGCAACCTAGTAAGTGCCTTTTGAGAGTAGTTGTCTGTTGGAGCCAAAGGGAGGTATTTGATCTTTGTTATCCTTTTGTTTTAGTACCATAGGCTATAGATCTAGGAAATGCATAAACCAAAATTCTGTAAATGTGATTATAACATGTTTGAAACTTCATGGCTGAATCAGTGGCATCATCAACAGTTTCAGTGCATGTTCTGAAATTCTTGTCTTAAGACCCTTGTGTTTGTTGAATTGCTTAAGTGATCAAGTTACTTTTTATCACTGAGAAGTATTATGTTTTGATGTATGTGCAGGGATTCTGAATTGAATGAAGACGCGTTTATTAAATTTCATTCTGGTGTGAAGCGTGGAGATATTGTCGGAATTACTGGGTGTCCAGGTTTGGGATTCGCTAGGTCTTCTTAGTTTATGGCAGATGTTCTCTGTGATAGATTTGGTCATGGTGTTAGAAAAACAAGTTTCGATGGAAGAGAAAAGTTGCTCTCATTATCACTCCTTCACATGCTTAAGCACCATAGATTAATGTAGGGGAAAGGTACTGAAAACAAAAAGGTGTTAACATATCCTGCATCCCTGAATCTTAGAAAAGTCATTATGGTGGCATCCTGTATTGCTGTACTCTCACGCCTCACTGTACTTCAGTCATAGGCCAAGAATTTCTAGAATAGCTTAGTTGTACAAAGTTCCTCCTTATAAGAACTCAAAGGACTAGTAAAAAACTATAAAAGGATATCATTTCAGCATTAATGTTGAATATAAAACATTTCTTGTGTTTACGTGCACTTAGGATTCTGGGTTTTGCTATAGTTTCTCACTTCGAATACTATTGTCTGCACCAAAATTTCTAGGTGAATATCTTTCTTGACATGGTGTAGTTTATGCAAAGATCCCAGGCTGCAGAAGATGATAATACCGATGTTTGTTTTAGTAATATATTCTTCTAATTCTTCTTACCTCATTCATCAGGAAAGAGTAAACAGGGAGAGCTGAGTATTTTTCCCAAATCATTCGAAGTGATGTCTCATTGTCTTCATATGATGCCACGGCAGAAAGGCGCCCAGACGGATACAACTAAGGTCAGCTAATTCTTTTTGCATTGTGTCTAAGACCAGTTTAATTGAACGGTATCTGATTGTACTGCAGAAAATTGAAGCATGGGTCCCGGGAAGTGGCCGAAATCCAGATACATATGTTTTGAAAGATCAGGTATCTTATGCCTTTATTTTCTTCATAAAGTTTCTTTTGTCAATTGCCTTGCTTTCTTCCTATTTCCTTTTAAAAGATTTTATGCCTCTGATGTGTTGTGGCTCATTTATTCTTTACGTCCAGGAAACACGATATAGACAGCGTTATTTGGATTTGATGCTGAACTTAGAGATTCGGTACATATTTAAGACCCGAGCAAAGATCATATCTTATATTCGAAGCTTTCTTGATAATCGTGACTTCTTAGAGGGCAGTGTTTATGAAGTTGTTTTACTTTGCCTTTTTTCATTTGAGATTATGAGCTTAGCTTGAATAAATTAGTTAAAATACACAATCCTATTTGTAACAGGTAGAGACCCCCATGATGAACATGATTGCTGGTGGAGCAGCCGCACGCGCCATTTGTGACCCACCACGATGATTTGAATATGCGGCTTTTCATGCGTATTGCTCCTGAACTATATCTTAAAGAGCTGGTTGTTGGTGGATTGGATCGTGTCTATGAGATTGGGAAACAATTCAGAAATGAGGGAATTGACTTGACACACAATCCTGAATTCACCACTTGCGAGTTCTATATGGCATATGCGGATTACAATGACTTGATGGATCTAACTGAAAAAATACTAAGTGGTCAGTACCAAAAAACTGGGATCCAAATATTGTAGTGGAAACTTATGTATATTTAGTCTTTTCGTTTTATTTATTCTGTTATAGTTTATCTTACTAACCATACATGAACAGGGATGGTGAAGGAACTTACAGGTGGCTATATAATCAAGTATCATGCAAAGGGGCTGGAGAATGACCCCATTGAGATTTGACTTCACTCCTCCCTTCAGGTTTGGAAGCTCTTCTATTATGTCGTGTTCTGCTTTTGTTTTCAATGCACCAAGATACTTATGCTGTTTGCTTCTGCAGACGGATTGATATGGTAGAGGAATTGGAGAAGGTTGCAAACTTGAATATACCCAAGGATCTCTCAAGTGTTGAAGCTAACAAATATCTCATAGACGCTTGTGCAAAGCTTGAGATCAAATGTCCTCCTCCTCAAACAACAGCTAGATTACTTGATAAAGTATTTTTTTTCCTTATCTCTTCTTGTAGCTGATTCTTACGGATGCAATCTAGAAACTTGTCTTATAATACGTCTAGTGCGATATTGTGATGCTCAGGAATCTTTTTCAGTTTCGGGGCTTTGCTTCAGATGAATAGAGGAAAGGGGTTCTTATGGACGAGGAGATCCACTTCTGTTCTCTCCACGAGAACCCCACATGAGGCAGCAGAAGGTTAGGGTAAAGAAAGAGAGAGGGCAGTGTGGAAAAATTAGACCAAAAAGGGAAATGTTTAGAAAAAAAAAAGAGGAATGCGACCTATCATATGTTAGAAGAAATAAATAGAGATGAAAAGGATTGCTGGCATTTTAGTGCTATCTTAGTGTTAATATCCTGCAATATTTGTGTCATTTTTCCAACCCTCAGGGGTTGGCCCGGTGGCAACAGACTTTAGCCTCGGGGTTTGCTCCCTTTCAAGGTCTCAAGTTCGAAACCCACTGGGTGCAAACAATTTCTGAGGGCCATCGGACTGGGTAAAACCTGAATTAACAGTGGTGCACTTGCGGGAAACTCCTTGCCGAGGGCCTGTGCACCCCCGGGATTAGTCGGGGCTCTTAGAGACTCGGACACCCGGTGCAAATAATAAATAAAAAAATATTTGTGTCATTTTTCCTGTATTATGTGTTATTGGCAATAGAGGTTTTCGTGAATCTTAAAAATGATATCCCTAGTTGGAGCCTCATTGTTAAATTGGTTGTGAATCAATTTGGTGTATGTCTGCTTTTTTGCATCTAACTTTGAGTAATATGTGAATCATTTTGCTGTATGTTTGCCTTTTTGCATATCATCCCCAGAAATGTTTAAAGTTATTTCCTGTTGTACATTTATTGGTGATACTTCAAAAAACATGTATTTATGGGAGTCGGTGTTCTCATTCGTTTGGCACTACATTACTGCTATTTATTACCAGTTTTTTCACCTAAGAAGCTTTCTAACATTGCTAATAATTCTCCTTCATCTTTGTTGTGAATTCAGCTTGTAGGGCACTTTCTGGAGGAGACATGTGTTAACCCTACTTTTATCATCAACCATCCAGAGATAATGAGTCCTTTGACAAAGTGGCATAGATCGAAACCAGGCCTGACAGAACGTTTTGAATTGTTTATTAACAAGCATGAAGTATGTATTCTGTCAAGTCTTTCAAACTGTTTTTAGCACTCCCAATACAAGCTGTAATGTGCTTCTTCTCTGTTAAATTACTTGACAGCTTTGCAATGCATACGCTGAATTGAATGACCCTGTTGTCCAACGCCAGCGTTTTGCTGATCAACTCAAGGTATCTGTGGGAAGACTGCATCCTGATTTGGTTGTTGTGTTTGTGCTGTGTTCATCTTGTTGTGTCATTTCTATTATGCGCCACTACTTATTTTAGCATGATTAATGTCAATTCAGGACCGACAATCAGGTGACGATGAAGCTATGGCACTGGATGAGAACTTTTGTACAGCTCTTGAATATGGATTACCTCCTACTGGTGGTTGGGGATTGGGTATTGACCGACTTGCAATGTTGTTAACAGATTCACAAAACATCAAGGTTTGTTCCTTCACTTGTTTTCTTTGTTAGTAAGAAATGACCACTTAGTTCTACTCTATCTCGGAATGTTAGAGTATCCACTTTGGCTGAGGGAATGGGTTGTTGTTTCCTATTAGGACTTAGACAATCCTCACCTCATGAGACTGAGTTAAGCCTAATGTATATTTTTTTGACCTGGTATCAAAGCCAAAGCCAAAGCCAGAATAATGGGTGTTCTTGGTTTATCCAGTGGTGGGTCACCATGCTGTCCCTGTTCCAGATGTCCAACTCTAGGCATCTGGGGAGCTTACAATATTTGACGTTGGTTCAGAAAGTGGATTGTCTCGTTATACGATTTCAGACAATTCTCACCTCATGATCTAGCTTTTGGGGTTTAGTTAGACTCAATGTGCATTTTATTTTAACTAGGATGAAATGGCCATTCAGTTCCAATTAATTCTTTTGATGTTCTGTTTCACATCCATTTCTAAATGGATGGAGAGGAGGCATTCGGAGAACAGGCCACTAGGGTAGTGCTGGTCATTTACCAGCTTAGTGTTTCTTTGCATTTTCGCTCACACTCCTTTTATTGTGATTTCGTTTTGAGAAAGCTAGTGTTTCCTATCATTTAAATTAGATACTGAAATCTTTTTTTTCTTTCCCTTGTTATAATTTGTTCAACAGGAAGTTCTACTCTTTCCAGCCATGAAACCACAGGATGAGCCACCTTCCTAGGAAAGGTAAATATTTCCTCCATTCTGTCCTCTGAATGATATTTGCGGGCATTAGTGTGATATTAAACCTAGTAAACTGATAGATCAATTGAATATCTTTAGTCTTGGTAGGTGGAGTTACTTCCTGTGTGCAATAGTTGTGCAATAGTCGAGGCGCATGAAAGCTGCGCTGGACAACACTATCATAGATTGTAAATAATATCCATGTTAATAATATTGACCAAGCAGTGGCTTTGGGTGACCTACTTTTGAGGAATCTTTTCAAAATAATTCACTAGGTTGTTCTTGGGTGGTGCTAAATCGTGGTCTCTGCTTAGCTGTAGGAAACAAGAAAAATTTGCTTATAAATTTCTGTTATGATCTTATGTTTGAGCAAGGGTTAGCTGCCAGTGAAACATATTTAAAATTCTCATAGATAAATATTTTTCATTACATTATGCATGTGAAGTTGTCTTTATTTGGTGGAATAATATTGATAACTAAGAGAAGAATGAGTGATGCTAGAAGCTCTTAAAATCCGTCGGTGACTCCTCTAAAGCTGCTTTGAGAGTTGAATTGCCAGACGTAGCACATGTTTTAAAAGCAGCTTGATGATGTATCCTTAAAAGAGCGAGTTACATGATATTGCATTGTTAATTGGCAAGGGATTTGTGGGGGGAATTCTTATGTCTTTTATAAATTGGACAATGCTCTGAACTGTGGTTTGATGCTTGCTTGGCATGAGTTGGTGATAACAACATGATAGGGGATTCAAGAATTACTAAAGAAAAACAAGAAAATCAAGAAACGTGCGGAAGCTAAAAACATAGAGAAACAAAAAAAGACGGAAAATTAAAGATAGATTGAATTCAAGAAAGAGTTCTTGAAGTCAAGAAGTCTATTCTTGAAGTTGAATCCTAACAACAACAATTAGCTAACAAAGAACTAATCGCCTTTGGTAGAGAATTAAAAACAAGAGATAGATTGTGAAACCTGACCCTTTAGAACAACAAGAACAACAATAAGCCTAAACTTATCACCTTTCTTGAATACATAGAAGTGATGTAAGATTTCGAAAGAGTTTAATCTTACCACCTTAAGTTGAGTCTTGAAGGTTGAAGAATAAATCCAAGAGTAGCCACACACAAGAGTGCAAGAAAAATATCATAATTTTTATTGATAATAGTCTAAATGTAAAAGCAAAGAAGATACCCCTTTATATAGGGAAGGGGTCACGAAAATTCTACCTAAAAAAACAAGGAAATAAAGTCCTAAACTACTTTGGACAACAAGTCCAACTACCATAGGAAAAGGTAAAACTCTAGGAAACAAAAACCAAGTCAATCTTGGAAAGTAATTCCAATAATCTTAGGAAAAGAAAAACAAAACCTTAATTACCTAGGAAAGCATCAAATATGTCCTAACAAACTATGAAACAAGATAAGGAACTTTGACTCCTCCTATGTCTTGGTCGCCCCTCCTTGAGCTCCTTTGTGAGTTGATTTAGGCGCCTAATTTAGGCCCTCTTAGGCTGGTGCGTGGACCCTAATTTACCTCCTCTTGGACTTGGACTTGGACCATGAAATGAGTGTAGCACTTAGCTAAATCCTCTCCATAATTCTTGAGCTCTTCTTCCACCATTAGCGCCTTCTTGATCTCCCATTGAAGCCCAACAACCTTGTCTTGCTTCTCCTTAGCTTGAGACCTTGTGAATGGCTTTCTTGGTGCTTCTAAAGCTTTATCCTTGTCCATGAAGCTATCATTCCCCTCCTCTTGAAAAGAATTCATCCTCAAATTTGAACCTACATCAAACAAGGATAAGTAAGCAACATTGAAAGTAACACTTACTTGAAACTCACCTGGAAGGTCCAATTTGTAAGCATTATCTCCAATCCTTTCAAGTACTTTAAATGGCTCATCTCCTCTAGGGTGCAATTTTGTCTTCCTTTTTGAAGGAAATTTCTCATTCCTCATATGAACCCAAACAAATCACCAGGCTCAAAGATAACTAATTTTCGACCTTTATTTCTTCGTATTGTTGTTTGCTCATTCTTCCTCTCAATTACAAGTCTCGTATGCTCATGAATAGTCTTCATAAGATCAGCTTTCTTTTTTCCATCAAGACTAACCATCTCATTAGTAGGCAAAGGCAATAAGTCAAGGGGTGTAAGGGGGTTAAAGCCATAAACAATTTCAAAAGGAAAATAACCAGTAGTTGAATGAACAGTTCGATTGTAAGCAAATTCTACCATAGGCAAGTGATCCTCCCAATACGTTAATTTTCCTTTTAGAACAGCCCTTAACATATTTCCTAAGGTTCTATTTACTACCTCAGTTTGCCCATCAGTTTGTGGATGACAAGAAGTAGAAAATAACAATTTTGTTCCCAATTTTCCCCAAAGCACACGCCAAAAGTGGCTTAGAAACTTAGCATCCCCATCACTAACAATAGTTCTAGGTATACCATGCAATTTAACAACTTCTCTAACAAATAAATTAGCAACATGAAAAGCATCATTGGTTTTTAAACAAGGAATAAAACGAGCCATTTTTGAGAACCTATCTACCACAACAAAGATGCTATCCTTACCATACCTTGTTCTAGGCAGTCCTAACACAAAGTCCATAGAAATATCAATCCAAGGTGAAATAGGCACAGGTAATAGCGTGTATAAACCATGTGGCAACACTTTAGATCAAGGCATTGAGCACAAATCTTTCTACATCTTTTCTCATATTAGGACAAAAGAAATTTTCAGCAAGGATGTCAAGTGTTTTAGGCCCACCAAAGTGTCCCATAAGCCCCCCCACGATGTGCTTCCCTCACAAAACTTCTCGCAAAGAACAATTAGGGACACAAAGCTTATTCTCCTTAAAAAGAAACCTATCCTTCATATTATACTTCTCAAAAGCCCATTTAAACATGCTGAAAATGCTACATCAAAATCAGAATCATCAACATATAAATCCTTAATATGATCAAATCCCATTAATTTAGAAGTAGGGGTGTGCATTCGATTTATCGATTCGATTTTGACCCTTATCGATAATTACTTATCGATTATCGATTTATACATATGCTTATCGTTATTGTTTCAATAAGGTTTCGATTTTTTCGATTTCGATTTATCGATTTTTGGGGCTTATCGATTCGGTTATTGATTACACCAATAAGAAAATTTGCGGGATTCCACGGAAAGTATATCGCTATAAACACGCCTAACTTATATGGCCCAAAAGAAGCTAAAATAAGACAAACATCGTTTATAACATAAAAATTGTGTCAACAAGCACATGCAACGAGACTAAAGTAAGGGATCAAATGTATGCCACCAACACTCCAACAGTATAAAAAAAAATACATCATCGCGGCTAATTCTATTTTCCATTAATTTGAACTTCATTCCCTTGAGCTTTAAATATGATCATTCCTTAAATGTGATAGATGAAATAATAGGGTTAGGGACTTAGGGTAAAGGAAAGGGTATTATAGAATAAGGGAAAAAAAAAATTAAAAAAAAATTATTACTATTATTTTTTTTAAGTATTTCTTATCGGTTTATCGATAAACCGATAACCGAAGAGGACAAAATCAAAATCGAAATCGATTAATCGATAAGGAAAATATCGAAATCGAAATCGATAAATCGGTAAACCGATATCGATAAACCGATAACAAATAATCGATTCGATTTATCGATAAACCGATTCGAATGCACACCCCTATTTAGAAGTAAGAGCAGAAACAAGAGCGTACCTTCTTGAAAGCGCATCAGCAACTATATTGTCTTTACCTTGCTTGTAGTTAATCACATAAGGAAATGTCTCAATGAATTCAACCCGTTTGGCATGTCTTCTACTCATACCTTGGCTTTTCAAGTATCTTAAGGACTCATGGTCAGTTTTTATCACAAACTCCTTTGGCCACAAATAATGCTGCCATGTAGCAAGAGCCCTTACCAAGGCATACAATTCTTTATCATAAGTAGAATAATTCAATGCAGCCCCATTCAACTTCTCACTAAAATAAGCGATTAGTTTAGAATCTTGCATTAAAACAACCCCAATACCTCTACCAGATGCATCACATTCAATTTCAAAGGATTATTAAAGTCAAGTAATTGTAACAAAGGAGCAGAACACAATTTATCCTTTAAAATATTAAATGCATGCTCTTGTTCTTTTCCCCAATTAAAGACCTTATCCTTCTTAATGACTTCAGTTAAAGGAGCAGCAATTGAACTAAAATCTCTAACAAATCTCCTATAAAAGTTAGCAAGTCCATGAAAACTTCTAACTTCAGTAATGCTCTTAGGTTCAGGCCAATCTTTAATCGCTTTGATTTTATCTTCATCTACCTAAACACCTCTAGAACACACAACAAAACCCAAGAAAACTACCTTATCTACACAAAAAGTGCACTTGAATAGATTTGCATACAATTATTGCTCCCTAAGCACATTACAAACTTGTTTCAAATGTTCGACATGCTCTTCTAAAGATCTAGAAAAGATCAAAATATCATCAAAATAAACAACTACAAATTTTCCATGAAAATCCTTAAAGATATAGTTCATTAACCTCATGAATGTACTAGGTGCATTAGTTAACCCGAACGGCATCACTAACCATTCATACAATCCATATTTAGTTTTAAAGGCAATTTTCCACTCATCTCCAGGATTCATTCTAATTTGGTGATATCCACTCTTCAAATCAATTTTAGAGAATATTTGAGAACCATGCAATTGGTCAAGCATATCATCTAAAGGAGGAATAGGATGGCGATACTTTACCGTTGTTTTATTGATGGCGCGGCAGTCCACGAACATCCTCCAAGTGCCATCCTTCTTTGGCACCAAAAGCACGAGCACAGAGCAGGGACTCGTGCTTCTCTTACAAATCCCTTATCAAGTAACTCCTCTACTTGTCTTTGCAATTCTTTTGTTTCTTCGGGATTGCTCCTATAAGCCGGCCTATTAGGAATTTGTGATCCCTGCACAAAATCAATTTGATGCTCTATTCCT